CTTCGCCAGGATTGCTTTTTTTATACTTTTTTTGGTTTTGTTTTGTTCATACACATATGTTGGGGGAACACAGCAGGCATGGTACTAAGCACACGTCACCTTGTACGACGGGAGCGGCTGGAGAACGAGTGGGGGGCAGTGGCGCGGGCTGCTCGCTGCACCGCGAGCGCGGCCGTGAGCCCGCGCGTGAGCGGAGCTCGCACCAAGCGCCCCGCGCCTGCCGCCTCCACGTGTCGGCTAAAGCGCAGTCTGCGCCGACTCCATCTGCACAGAGCTGCGCTCCTCCGCGGCCACGGTGCCGTAGGAGGTATCGGGCACCTCCTCTTCTTTTAGCTTCTTGTAGGAAATATCCGTGTCTTCCTGCTCGCCGAGGGCATCTGGCTTGTAGCCCTCCCTCCCGTACATCTTGTATGCCAGCACAAAGAGCCCTGCCTCTGCCGACTGGAACAGCGCGTACAGCAGGGGGAACATGTACATGCTGCCGATGAGCTGCGGCGGGAAGGTGAGCTTCAGGATGGCCGTGCACAGCTGGACGTTTTGGCAGCCCGTTTCTAGGGACACTGTCCTCCTGCAGTGCGGCGGCAGGGCGAAGAGCGTGGCCAGGCCGTAGCCCAGCGCGTAGCCGGCCAGGGGCATGAGCAGCGCGATGGCGTACACAGAGGCGGGGATGTGCGCCAGCAGGTCTGGCCCCAGCATGGTCCCCGTGAGGATGAACAGGATCACCAGCGTCACCAGCAGGGACCACAGGGAAACCTAGTGGGGGGCAGGCAGAGGCACAGGGGACACCGCGGTTATTAGAGCAAAAACGAATCCCCCGCAGCGAGCGGAGGCTTCACGGCGAGTCTCAGCTGCACAGCGTGGCTGTGCAACGCGCAGCTTTGCTTGACCAACTCCCGGAGGAGAGGGGCTGAACCCCCCTCCACATTTGGGCTGGGGAACTAGGAGCGCTAGGGCTATGGCTCGCTTTCTCCTTCTGTTTGCCTGCTCTAAGAGGGCCAGTTTTGCTAGCCCTAGGGATTGAGCAGGGAAGCCAAGGAGGCTCCCTCGGTGCCTCCCTCGTTTTAGGTCTGCATTTCTTGGGTTTGCCTCAGGGATGTAATTAGTGCTCATATTCTCCCAGGGTAGCAGCTGTGGGGAGGCTTGTTGTGGCTGCAGGCACTGTGCTAAAAGTGCAGCGCACCCGGGGCTACATCGGGCTGTTCTCATGTCCCACACCAGGCTTATCGTGGATGGGTAACAAACAGGCAGCTATTCATTAACATCTACATTTAAAATACATATATAAAAAACAAACCAACAAAAAAAACCCCAATACTAGGCAAATACAGTAGCAATGATGATCTCGCCTTCCTCGGGGCCGGGCACAGGCGCCGCTCTCCCCGCAGCCCGGCCGGGGTTGCTGCTGCCCAGGCACCCTGTGAGACGGCACCTACCTTAACGAGGATGTCGGCGACGCGGGGGCGCTGGTGGCGGATGAGCACCCCCAGGCCGATGGGCAGCAGGGTGCTGGCCAGCGTGAGGCTCACGGCGCCCAGCGGCAGCAGTTGCACGAGTGTCGTGTTGATCCAGTGGCGGCTGTAGATCCAGAGGCACAGCGGCATGAGGAGCAGGGCGAGCAGCGTGGAGGAGGCCGTCATGATGATGCTGCGGGCCGAAGGAGCGAAAGAGGCGCCGCATCACCGTGGGATCGGCCCGCGGGCACGCGTGGCAGAGGGCTTGGGGACAACCAGGCTCCGTGCGCAGCGCGTGAGCTGCCCGGGGAGCCGTGTCTGGGGCCCTCGGCGGGCAGGGCAGG